TTCACCTCATACTTGGTTTATTTGTTTCAATTCAGCTATTCAGGCTTTTGGCTTAGCTCATAGCGAAACTGATCACTTTGTTTTCTATTGGCATAGTTCCCTCGATCAGTTTATCTATCCCTTAGTCTATGTAGTTGACATTATCATAACTAGTAGCAATCTAGTTGAGATTGAACAGCCAAAACAATACTTGTTTAGTCAATTTCAGACTAAAGATCTAGGCAAGCTTCGATATTTCTTAGGCATTGAGGTGGTACAATCTTAACATGACATCTCCATTTCTCAGATGAAGTATGCCTTGAATATTCAGGAGGAAACTGGCATGTTGAGGTGCAAGCCTATCAATACACCTATGGATCCTAATGTCAAGCTTTTACCTGGACAAGGGAAGCCATTTACAAATCTTGATCATTATCGAAGACTGGTCGGGAAGTAGAATTATCTTACAACAACAAGATCGGATATTTCTTTCATAGTTAGTGTCTAGACTCTCCTTGTGATTCCCATTGGAACGCAATTGTCAGAATTCTCCAATACATCAACAAAGCACCAAGAAAAGGCTTATTAAATAAAGATAAGAGGCATATTGATGTTTGTGGCTACTTATATGTTGATTAGGCAGGATCCTCTTCAAATAAACGTTCCATCTTAGGTCATTATGTCATTTTTGGGAGAAATCTAATTTCTTGGAAGAGTAAGAAGCAAGTCGTGGTAGCTAGATCAAGTGCAGAAGTTGAGTATCGAGCAATGGGGACTGCAATGCGTGAGGTCATCAGGTTAAAGCAATTGATCAAAGAACTAAGTCTCTATGAACAACGACCAATGAAATTAATTTGTGACAATCAAGTAGCGTTGCACATATCCTCCGGATCAAGCACATCGAAATTAATTGTCATTTTAACCAAGAAAAGATTCAGTCTGGAGAGATCGAGACAACATTCATCAACTCCAATAATCAGCTTGCAAATATTTTCACTAAGGCTCTTAGGGGTCCTCGGGTTGCCTAGGTTGCCTATATTTGTAAAAAGCTTGATGCAAACGATATTAAAGCACCAGCTTAAGAGGGAGTGTTAGAATGTATATATTAAGGTGTGTTAGTTAGTCCTATATCTGGTAAATAGGGCCCAAGCCCTTGTATCTCATTATTATAAATATAACTCTTGTGTGGTTGTACTAGACACACAATTCCTCAACTTCAAGTATGACTACAAGCCAAAGATAATTTCTTTCATAGTAAATAACTGTTTTTTATCATACTTCACTAGGTTCACCCCATAGTCTGCGCAAATAAAAATCAGATTCTGATACAACAATTCCTGGGGGTAGTGATTCGGCTCCACGAGGATTTGATGGAACATTTATCTGCAAAAGTAGCAACTTTTAATCAGACTTGATTTGCTTGATAAATCGTATTGCTGCAAATCTAAATCAAGTATAATTATACAATACTGACATGCTAAATGAAATATATAGCTGTAATGCAGCAAGAATCACACCTGACAGATAATTACAGGAAATAATTCTAAAAAGTTGTTAAATCATAACAAAAACCTTGACAGTCCCTCATGGATGAGCCAAAGCTAAAAGCACATTCAACCTTAATGTTTGTCGGATTGTAATAGCAAGAATTATTCATATTTCTGAAGCACAAGTTTGCATTTTCAGCATACTTTGTACTAATTCTTACAAATTTCAAAGTTGATAAGCTACTGATTCCAGAACATCGGCACCAAAATCATTGTTGTACAAACAAACAAAACATTATATTAGTTCAAATAATAACCTAATTCATCTAATCACATAAATTGCTAATCATTCACAACTTTTAATGTTGATAAGCTCATCAAAACCTGCACCTACTCACATTTTTATAAACAACATATAGGCTTAAGATTAGTTCAAATAAAAGCTTGCTTTCACATATATTTTTTTTTCAACAAACAAGCAGATTTCTACTTGTTGGAATTAAAGTGTGTAATAATTTTTCTATCTGATAAGTAATACATCATCTAAATATAACTTATTAATTATTATGGAACAAGTTAAAAAATAATCAACCACAGAGAAATTTTAAAATGCAATTCCATTAAAAAAAATTATTAATTTATATATATTTGAAAATTCAATTTGTACCCCTTAAAATCTTAATAGAATAGAATTTAAAAGAAAGTTTCGATCATGATTTTTTAAGCCCCTACAAGTAAACGCGGAGAAAGCTTAGTAGCAATAAGTATTCCAAAATATCTTATATAAGACAAAACAATTGCTAGGAAATGATAATAGTACATATTCTATGAAGAAAGAAACAAAGATCAAACTCCACCTTTCCGATGAATAGTCTCACCCAGTATATCTGTGCTAACAAACAAAGGATGTTCTCCTGGAAGATAATTATTGATCTAAATCTGCAGCTTTACATATCTGAGAATATAATTGTATGCATGCAGGTCCATCTAAAGAATAAGCATGGAAATTACCTTTGGTAATCTAATTGACCCTAGGGCTTCAAGATTTTTGGTTCCAGAAGATTCGTCAATAACAGCGGGAGATCTGTCTACATCAGCTGAAAATCTGTCTATTTCAGCTATAGGTACATTAAAAGGATTACCTACACCTGAAAGTAAGCTAATCTGCAAAATATAAGCAAAAAAGGAGGAAAAAATTTAAACGGATGATAAATGCTATATGCAATGCTGAAAAGAATTACGGTTGCAAATAATACCTTAGTCAAATGCGCGGATGAAAATGAAATACCAATAAAAAAACCAAAGGCGAATCCCATAATTGCTGCGATGATAATCCTGGTGCTGTCATTTGATCTTTTAAGTGCACTACAGAAGAAATAGTAAACTAAATTCAAGCATTTTGGTGGAATGGACAAAAAGAACAAGTGCCAGTAATTCCCATTATTCTGTTAATGTTAAGATACCAAGCAAAGAAGGGATCATCTACAAAACAAATTTGTTCTTACCTGCGATGCATTGTACCCATCCAGTTAGTATCTCCCACAATCAAGTCAAGAGATTTAACACCCGGAAAAGGTTCAGATCCTTATGCAAACTCTGAAGCAAATATATCATCCTTCAACAACAAAAAGAACGACCAGGCATAAGACACGAGTAGTAGTCAGGCTGAGTGTGAGAGGACAAAGATGCAAAAATATTGCAGTTTATCAGTAACATATTTAAGACATTGAAACCAATAACTTCCAAAGCAAAGACAGTATTAAGCATTTAAAGCCACTAGGATTAGGCTAGTGGTAAGGTTCTTGGGAAGTTTCCATACTTCTGTACCAAGTATAAAAGGATCAAGCACAGGCGTGCTTTTTAGTGTTAATACTTAAGTACACTATTACTGAGTAGTAAGCATTTCGAGTCCTGATACTCTAAAATGATATGAAACTGACATAGTGCAATTTGCCCCAAAAACAAAAACAAAATACAGCTAAACAAAACATATGAAACTGACATGGCGCTAAAATTGCAATCGAAGAAGAAAATTGCACAATTTCACAGCCACATTGCATCGTTGATTCGCGTTACAGAATCAAACGAAACAAAAAATGATAAAACAAACATTCATTAACACGGCACGCTACTATCCTGGTAAAATTATGGACAGAACACAACACCGAATTTAAGAGCTTCCATATAGATTTTACAATTCCTCCTTCGTGAAGAGGAAAAAGGACGCATGAAGGAATGTCATTGCAAAGAAATAAAACGGAAATATACTTACAGAATCGATCGGAGAAACGCTAGGGTTCAGTCTCTGCTTCTTCTTCGATCTCGATCGAATCAATGAGAGAGAAAGAGAGAGAGAGAGAGAGAATTTTATATATGAGAATCATACAGTCGCAAACAGACGCATGACCATTGTTAATGTGTGAGTTTGTTTGTGTAGCCGAAACTGAAAATTCCGCTCTCGGAATTTATATGACGAAACTACCCCCACCTTAGTTTTCTATTTCCCTTACTTTATTATTATTATTTTTTTAACGGCCTATGAGATCGTGCCAAGTCGAGGATACGTGTATGAGTTTGATTTTGACTGGTCAACTCACACCATGAGGGTGGATTTTTTTTTTTTTTTTTTGTAAATCATGAGGGTGGATTTAGGCTATGCCATCGTATCGTATGGTTAGCACTCTTTTTTCTGTTGTGAATTAACACCTTTTCTCTTTTTTAATTATACTCATGAAAAGCTCTTGTATGTTTTTTTGTTTTTTTTTGTTTTACCCTTTAATCTGAATTATTAAATGCTTTTAAAATCTATCACAAACAGTATGTATTCGATGATATATAAATAGAAAAATATCATATCTAGAAAACAAATTAAGAATTTCTCTTGCCCTCAGTCAAAAAACATACGGGTCCCGCAAAATATTATGCGTGTAGAAAAGTTTGTGTGGTCATGTTAAATGATAAACCCATAAAATAAATGAGTTTATGAAAGTATAGGTAATGAGTCATACAAGCCCCCTTCCCTGCATCAAACAGATGCCAACTCTTAACCTTTCCGTTTTAAACACCAAACTTTTTTTTTTTTTAATTTGGTGATGACGATATCATGTAATTTTGATGCACTTCCTAGAAGTTCATAACTTGATATGCCAGCCTATCTTCTTTGTCAGTGTATGCAATTGTATAAAAGCATAGTTAAGCATTGCCAACCTATAATATATATATTTTTTTTTGTTTACTTCATGATCATGCAATTGTACAGTTATGTGTGACAATTATTCAATTCTGCCCATAAATATCCTTCAATTTGAACTAGCCACTTTCCAATATCAACAATTTAATTACAATTCTTCATTAAGAATGATATGTGTTCAATCATCACCTTGTCTTTTTGGGAAATATGAGTGCAACTCTTGCTATTCCCTTGACAACAAAATCGTGGACTCTATTTCCCACTTTAACTTAAGACTAGAACAGAATTGAATCCATAATAAGGAGATAAAAAATAATCAATCAATCAGAACAATGAAAAACTCTTTAGAATCTAGAGCAGCGGTGTGGTAGACCCGTATCATGATGCACAGTTACTATTTCAGTTGCATTGTCACATTTAAGCACATCCTGACCCAACTTAGCTCCAGCAGCCTTGAGGCCCTTGAGAGAAACTGGCTGATTGAAGAGATTCAGAGATGGTAGCCTTGATGCTGGTGGCAATTTCATTCCTGGCAACAAGTTTCTGAAATCTTCTTTCAACAATGGCACCTCAAAGTCTTGTTTGTTATGTCTCACCACATTATCTTTTGCAGTTATATGTGTCCCTGGTTCCATATGGTTGGTTGAAAAGCATGCCTGGTTTGGGAAATTAGGATAGAGACTAACATAGCCTCTAAGATACATCATGTCTATAAGGAACTTCTTCCATGAAGCTTGCCACCCATTTGTTCTAGACTTTGGAATTTGAACTGGGTTTGCCTTTGCATCCTCAGTGAACCTCACGTTCATATACACATAAAACTCTCTCCATTGCTTAGGGAAGAATACTGCTCCCCAACTGCAAGGTAATTGGTGAAGGTAAGGTGTGTTGGGATGGATTCGTTTGAAGAATTCAGTGGCATTCCATTTTGGCCTTTCTTTGACAACTTCAACCAACCTTGGGGTGTAGAGGGAAATGGAGGAGAGCTCAGGGAGAGAGACCTGAGGGTCATAGTGGTAAGACAAGAGTGCATACTTGATCCAAAGGTAATAGTAAGGTGAAACTTCGATATCATCTTCAAGTAAGAGACCAAAGTCATCATCAGAAGATGGATACCAACTCTCACTCACGGCTCGGATGAGACCTCCTTGGATAATTCTCCTCCTCAGGGTTTTGGGTCCATGAGGCCACTCAAATGAACTTACTAGTCTTATAGTTGCCTCATCTACCTTGCTGTCCATGTTGAAAGTAATGGGAACTTCATCCTCAATATAGTAGGCTTCACTCAGAGATTTGAGTAGCCTTGTTAGTGAATTGGCTCGGTTTTGGGTAATGATGTTGACAGAGATCCGCATCCGGTTCCAATCTGTGCATGAAAATATATGTTAGATAACTTGTTATTATGCGTTAAGTGGAGGTCGTTTAAAAGGACACAAGTTGTGTCCTTTTAATAATTTACACAAAGTCTGACTAGTAATACTTTGTGTAGATCTGAAAAGTTGCTTTTTATTTTTATTTTACACGTCAGTAATGTGACTAGAGAGAGAAAAAAAAAAAAACTTTTTATATTTACACAGAGTCTTACTTGTCAGACTTTGTGTAAATCACCTAAAGACACAAGCTTATGTTCCTTTTCCCTATCCTATTAAACAAGGAAGCTATATATGATGTGGGGTTTATCATTTATGATGTGACAAGAAGTATATATACAGAAAATAGATTGGCTAAGAGTGGAAAATTTGTTATTACTTGGCAATGCTGTTGAACGCAGATCAGCCATCCAAAGAACTTTTGACACTGAAGCCCTTGGTAAAAGAACAAGAGTGGTGCCATTTGAGTGACTCTCTGATGCCATCTTTAGAGCTTTCCTCACGTTAGGATCAATGTCAGCTACGGTGATTACAACACTGGGATTGTGAATTTTGATCAAACCCTTCATGCTGGAGTACACTGCTTGTATTACTGGCACCTCTGAGTTTGATACCCCAGAAAGTGCACCAATTGCCAAATCAAATATCTTGAAACGACGCTCTTTACATACCAACACAGGCCAATTCAGTGCTTTTGCAGCATCTTCACAGGGGCAGAAATTGCCTCCGGAGACAACAATGTAGGCCTTCTTGCCAAAAGTGGACCCAAACTTTTCAAGAAGAGGTGCAAGTGCTTTCACTTCCTCAATAGAGTGAGCATAAAAGAGTGCATCAACTTTTTGAGGATAAATTGCTGCCCACTGGGTCACATAACCACTAGAAAGTGCTTTCCACCATTGATCATCCCTTACTTGAATTATGTCCTTGAAAATTACAGTGGTTTCGGACACATAGGCAAGCCTGTGTTCACTATCACCCCAGGTTTCCTTGTCATTAGGGTCAACCGGAAGAACAAACGAGCCAGCATTTCTATACTTCTGAAGCTGATAGCTGCAATAAAAAAGAAAAAAAAAAATCATAAGAATAATGAACTTGAAAACTTGGACAAATCAGCAACAACAATATAGAAATATAAAAGTGATCCCTAGGGTAGGCTGGTCAATGATGAATGGTTTGTTTTGTTGAAATAAACTCACGGGCTCTGAAGTTAGAATGTCAAATAAATTAAATATTAACGGGATAACAAAAAAAAATTAGATTATTGACCAAAGAATATATAAGAAGATTCTTTCCTATTGTTGAGATATATAAAATCATTAATGTAACTTTATCCAACAACTTAAATTTTTGGGTTGAATTGGTTCTTTGCATGGTATCAGAGCTTGAGTGACTACAAGGTCACAAGTTCGATCCTCACCGTCTCCCACTTTCTTTCAAGCCCAGTGAACTCTCGTGTGAGGGAGCTTAACCTTTTGGGTTGAATTGATTCTTTACACCTATAAAAAGGCAAAGGATGCTTGAAAACAGGTTTTGCACCCAACTAGTACTTTGGATGTTTTCAATATATCTGGGATTTCAACTTAATTTACACACTATAATTTAGCTGCCTACTAGACAGTGCTGCAATATAAGAAGGATCACGTTCTTAACCAAGATAGTACATAGTCGCCAAAAAGAATTGTAATAAGACATGACACAATTCTTTTGGTGGAAACCAAACAGAAAGTCCAATTTCTAATTCTTAAGTAAACGCTAATATGTGAATAGTGCAACTTGTCCTACTTATTAGTGTTTGTGAACCTAATAGCATCAACTACATTGTACTTTGGCATAGTCAAATTAATGACTGTTTGACTTGTATAGTCAAGAGTTCAAATAAGCTATCACGATTATGTAGTTTTACTTTCACCAACTAAAATGTATCTTCATAAAATAGTTAAAAAGATTTTTTTGTAGAATTTAACCACATGTATTACCTGAGGTGCAGATCTTCACCAGTTGCAAAGGTAAAAGGAGTCTCAACGAAGAGGGTCTTGACAAGCTCAGCAGATAAAAACCATGAACTGGATAAGAAATCCACCTGCACAATTTTATCAACTGTGATATCATAAGCAGGATCTGGCAAATAAAGCCCTGCTTCTTTAGACCGAAATTTTCTGTAACTAGGAAATGTGAAATCCTTTTGTCTAAAAGGCAATATCCTTCCAATACTCCCTAGAACAGAGTTTTTGTATTTGTCTGTCCCAGCCACGTGCGCTAAAATCTGCAACATCTTCCTACCAGGAATCATGTCATCATCAACAATGTACACCAGATCAGCTTCGGTCTGCAGAGCCATTTGGAACCTTCCATAGTACTTGAAATCATAACTTGAGCTAATGAAACTGATTCTTGAGTCGTTATAGTGATCCACAATTCTCCTCAGTGAGAGCTCATTGGGGCTCCCAAATGAAAGCACCCAAACATGATGGAATGGGAGGGTCTGTTGGAGCAAGGAATCAAGCTGAGCACAAAGTGTCTTTCTTTTGAAGTGGTTCAGTAATATTGTGATTTTTGGTCTGTTTGAACCTTGCAAATCCCATTTGGATTTCATTGCAAGTAACTCAGCTAGACTCTCAGTACCAATAGTCTCTCTCTGGAAGTTCAAAACCTCGTCGTATAGCTCTCTCTTCAACTTAATCATTTGAACATCATTGGACTTTTTTTGCATGAAATCTATCTTCTCATTCTGGCACACTTCAGATGAAGTAATAGGTTTTATTTCCTCTTGGATTAGAGAGGAAGCTTCTTTGTGACGACCCACTACTTGGGGTCTGATCATGAGGTGCTTCCATTGTTGTGCAATTTGGGTAGCCCACGTAAAATCTGGCTTGGTTGGTAAATCTATAGAAGGACTTAGGTAGTACAATAAAAATGTTGCATAAACTGCAAAGAAAAATTGAAAACATGTGAGGGCTGCCACAAGCTTAGTGGAGCCAATTTTTTGAGCCTTAAATTTGGTCTTTCCACCAACATGGTCATTAACCATCCCTTCCAAGCTATCCCCACTTCTCCAAATGGAGTTTCGACCAAAAACCATTTTGCAAATCGAAGTAGATTCAATATTGTCCCACCTGTAGAAGAACACAGACAAAGTTAGTCCCTAGTTCCTAGTCCCTACACACAAGCCATAATGCAGCGCAAAATTTGCAAAGAAAGGTGGGATTGAGTCTCACCAAATGTTTTCAGTCCAGTGACTGATATAACTGTTTTATGATATGAAAATGGAAATCCAACATCAACCACATCTAAGACTCTGGAAGAGTAACTAGTTGGAGATGGAGGAGAAATAAAACCAAAAGATAGGTTCTGAAAAATTGGTGATGAAGATAGTAATGGAGAACAACCGCTTCTATGCCTTTTATTATGCTTTAGTGGAAAAGTTTTCCACCAAAAAATATATATATTGTTGTGGACAACATAACAACAAGTGATACACTTAAAAGATAAAAGGATAAACTACTTATCTCATCCCTCAACAGACTCAATCCTATGACGATTTTACATCTACAGGTAATCCGGTAATCCGTTTTATAAATAAAGGGTTAAGCAAGTACACACTCTGAATTCTTTATTCTCTTGCCTATCATTGACCACGCATCCCATGCCGTATTATTATTGTGCACAGTAATCCGTTACCCCTTTCGGTGTCACTTCCATGGACTCTCGTGATCATACCAATCCAAGATACAAATACCAACTTTATGTTGAACAGGATCGAACATATATTAACATGAAAAATGCATCAAAGGTCACATGGGCTAACCAATTATGCTAATTAAGAATGCAAGCAAAACGAGTTACCTTTATTACTAGACCCTTAAGACACCATTAAAAAGCCAGATTCAATGCCGCAGAAAAGGGCCACCCCCTGCGTTTTTGGCACTGCATGGACTCCTTACTCATCTTTGATCTTTGTGTTCAGTTGTTTACTCTTTTCTTTTCTCCTCCTACATTTTCAATTTTATATATATATATATCCCTTGTGAGTTTCCAGTTTCCACATTCAACTTGAAAATAAAGACTAAAGAAATAAAAACAAAATAACATAGAATAATACACGATATACGGCCTTGGTCAAAACTCAAAATCAACTCCTAAGATTTACATCTTGCTTTAAATGAAAGGCATCAAGTAGTAAAGGAAACATATATTAATAATATTTAACAATTAAGGCACAAACAAGCACGAGAAAGAACATGGGATGGAGATCATACACGCATTACTCACTAGCTTTGACACAAACACAATGTGCAAAGGGTGAAGAAACAGAGCTTTTTTTTTTTCTTCTTCTTCAGCAAAACAAGCTAAGCTAGCGTAGAGACCTAAAGCTAAACAAACTTACGTATATATATATATATATATATATATATATATATATATATATATAGGGATATGTATCTCTTATGTCACTGCAGATGGGAAAAAGTACAATAACATGTTTCTTTTTTTTTAGAATAGGATACAACTACTTATCCTATTAAAGATTTGTTGCAACTTTTCTCGTTCAGCAGTGAAAGGACAACACGGACCCATATATATATGTATTCGCACCACAATCAATGGTGAGGCACTTGTTTGGTTACCGTGGCAAAGAATGCAAGTGTTGGCTAGAGATAAGGAAGATTGAGTATAAAGGAGACAAATTAGTCAGAAATTTTATATGTTAGGTGTATTTGACTTTTTTTGCAGAAGACACGTAAATGAAATTAGCAGCAAGCTTTCTTTAATGGCTAAAAGCCGAACTTAAGCGGGTTGGACGCATGAAAATCAAGGATTGGTTCGCTTACAGAAGATAGAATTCAAATAAATATTAGTCGCTTAGACAAGAAAAAATGCATTGGAATACGAATACTGGGAACATAATTTTATTTTATTTTTTCTGAATTGGCCCATTTCCACTTATCTTTTCCTCGTTTTCTGGTGATTTTCCATTGGAGTTGCAGAAGGAAAAAGAATGGACACATGGGTTTAGATATGTGTGGAGCCCACACCTCACAGTTATCAATTGGTCAAACTAGCCCAACTGCACTAAATGGGTCGACACAACTCACACAATGTCTATGATATTGAGATCACTAGTTCTTTCATTTATATAAAATTTACGTAGTTCATTATTAATGAATAGGACATTTCATTACATTTGAATTTCTCAATAATCTATGAACTCATATTATATGCTTCAAGAAACTATCCCCACATACTAACACAAGACTTTGCAGTATGCTTTTTTTCTCACTCGCACACTTCCCTGGGAAAACTTCTTAGGAAGTCACCCATCGCAGAATTGCTCCAAGTCAAACACGCTTAACTATGGAGTTCTTTCGTTCCGAAAAGTAGATGCATCTTGTTAGTATAGGTAGTACCAATTAATTCTTATAAGCTTATCCCAAACTGTGCAGTCTCATACCTGCACAGTCTTTGAAATCCCTCTCTTTCGGGTGTCGATTCGATTCATTCATGCATGTAACCTTGCTGGAAGCCTGTCAGAAGCGCTCCTTGTCCGTGCCTATTTGCACCGGCGATCACTCCCCGCCCTCGTCAGCGCTCGGGATGTTACATGCCCACCAGCTTCCGTCTGGTTCATCCTCGAACCACACATCGTACTAGAAGAGAGGTTTGCTCTGATACCACTTGTAATGTCCGGCCGCTTCAAGAATCAATGACTATCCCCACATATGGAGTTCTTTCGTTCCAGGCTACCAAAAAGTAGATGCATCTTGTTAGTATAGATAGTACCAATTGATTCTTATAAGCTTATCCCAAACTGTGCAGTCTCATACCTGCACAGTCTTTGGAATCCCTCTCTTTCGGGTGTTGATTCGATTCATTCATGCATGTAACCCTGCTGGAAGCCTGTCAGGAGTGGCTCCTTGTCTGTGCCTCTTTGCACCGGCGATCACTCCTCGCCCTCGTCAGCGCTCGGGATGTTACACTCAACCCACCTCTAGCTAATTACTACGTTAACTCAAACCAAACTCGGCTAAGATCTTATGACATGAGACTATCACCAATGAGTTAAGTTAAAATTGATTCAATATCATGTCTCAATCAAAAATCTTAAGACCTTGTGTTTATGACTCTTCCATTTATATAGACTTTACTTAATTTATTATTATTAGGGATTAGTGTTTGTCTTTTTAAAGAATATAAAATTATATTATTTTAGTCAAAACTATTATGTTTTATAATGAGAGAAACATAAATTATGGGAAAGAAAGTGAGAGATTTTTTTAATTTAAATATTAAATAAAAAATTAATTTTAACTAAAATAATTATCCCTTAGCTTTATCACTCTAAATATCCTAACAACGTCAATTGGTGTAGGCCTGTGGTTAGAACATAAATAGTTACACTATACAGATTCAGCAAGAAGCGAACCGCTACATTTTCTCTTCTCTAATTGATTTATGTGTAACTAGCTTTATAGGATTAAATGCATACATACATATATGAAAGTAAATAGATATATTACCATTGGTTATTACTTTAAACTACTTATGGGTTTGATTATGATATCCCTAAAAATTATTTTTCTTTCTTTTGATTGATTTCATATTTCTGTAAGATGATGTTTGAGTGACACAAAAAGTAAAAGTGATCAATCAAAGGAGGAGAAAGATAAGTAGAAAACTCAATAAAAGATTGTAAAGGCTATCAAGAGCAAAGAAAAAGCTCCTAAAAATAACTATTTCATATATTGTTAAGAATATTAATTTGTTAAAAAAAATGCTTAAGAATTTTTGTAAATTTATATCTTTTTTATTTTAGTTTACAATTTGATAGGTCTAGAAAATCTTATAGGCTATGTCAGGGTTTTCATTTTTTCATAAAAGACAAGATGAAACCTATAAATCAACCTTTTGATAGGCTAAAAGGGCTTTAAAATTTTTATGTAAGCTTAGATTATAAAGGCTAAAATTTGACTTAACCTAATTCATTTACACCCTACTTAAATCACAAACCAAAAAAAAAAGTACAGTAAATAGGTGGTCAAATGAATTTTTTTTGTCACATCATTATTATTTTGCACTGTTAATAAAAGTTCAACTTCAAAGTTCAAAGTCCTACAAATTTACCTTGGCTAAATAACATAAGATAATTTTTAAGTAAAAAATTTAAAACCCATCATTAATCCCAAGTTAAAAATTTTATTTTTTTTAAATAAAACAACTTTGTTTCTATATCTATTTAGGGAAAAATATTTATGTAGAATTTTTTTTTCCTAAACCCACTCACATAATGGGAATGTGGCACAAAAGTTTTTTTTATGCAACAAAAACATAAACATTAAAGGGTAAATCTCTTCTCATGCACAAATATCATATGATGGGACCCATCATGTTTAAAAAAAAGGGTGAGAATTTCAGTGAATGTGTAGGAGAAAAATCTTCACTTATATGAGAAAAGATTAACCCAACATTAAAACACATCTATTTATTATGTTATAAAGGGCTCGTTTGGTGGACATGATAGGATAATGACAGATGTAATAAGAGAGTTGGATAAAGATAGAAAAGAATATGGGCATGATAAGCTGATATCATATCATGTGTTTGATGTGCACTATATTAGCAATTTGAGAGGATTATATTATCCCATCATGTGTTTGAAGTTAATTGGATATCATCAGGATATGATAAAGATAGACTAAAATACCCTTTTTAATGGAATATCATATAATTTTTTATAAATTAAATTTTAAATTTTTTAATTTATTTTTCCAATTCTAAAAACTAATTTTTGGACTCCTGATTATGATAAGCTTGAGCTCATATAATCGATTAGATGGACCATGTAATCGATTATATCATTCAATTAACGTCAAATATTGACCTATTAATTTTTGTTTTAAAAAAATCACCTGTTTTTTTACAACATGCTTCTTTGTATAGGCTTTCGAATAGTTTTATAATGTTAGTATACATAAGGTTTTAAGACTAATAATAATTGTACGATTAGCGAAAAGATAATCATACTTTTTGTGTCGACAATATGCATTGATATTAATTAATTCTTCCATTGGTTTTTTGAAGAAA